GCAGGAATGGTGAACGTGAGGTGAGAAGAGGTCCTGGCAAAAACCTGAACTGTTCGGGTGCTATGAACAGGGCTGTTGGGGAATGGCTCAGTACAAACTAATCCTACACCGTGAAGCAGCTCTAATGCATTGAGCCACGCTGGAAAACAGCACCCAAGTCAGGTCCTACTAATGCTGAGTAAGAACCACATACCCAGATACTGTATGTCCCCCTCCTTTGGCCAGAGAAGCCTTAATGTTCAGTCTTCAGTCAAGGCAAGGACACAGTAACGCTCTATTTCTTGACTGGAAACAACTGGCAGCAGTATGAAACACAGGACACTGATTTATTACAAGGGGACAGTACTCCTACCATTGGTCTCTTTAGTATATGTTTCTACAACGCTTAATTATACTATTCAGCTATCCTGACTTTATTTTGTTGTTTAAAATGGAAAACATCATGGTTATGACAACGGTTATGGTTTTTAAATGACAAAAATTCTTAATGTACAATTTTAATCCAAGTGCTTCATTTTAAGTAGGAAGGAACATAACGGATCCAACCATTGATAAATACAAGAGGGTTTATCTGACTCAACAACGGAACATGATTTTGTTTCCTAGTATGGGGCTGAAGGGAGTACACACACGCTCCCTTGAACTTCTGAGTGCACCATGTTCTGCCACATAAACAATCCACATCTGCATTTATTTTTGCCAGGTTTCAGTCCCTAAGAACACCTGAACTTCCCAGAGAACATAAGGGTATTTTTTGCCAGAGAAAACAGCAAAATGAGAAAAAGAATAATTTACTGATTTAACAAAAAACCAATCATGTATTTGAGAGTTAACATATACCACCAAATAGATACTTTTCCATTCTTTACTGTGCCAAAATATATTTTAAATGAGTTTCATTACTGACTGGTCATTGCTGTAACAGGTCCTTCAGTGTATGCCACACACACCAACCTCGTCATTGACTATTTTTCTCCCTCATCCCCAAATTCTTAAAAGAAAGTTTGACAGTCCTCAAGAGAGGACTTTCTGCTATTTGAAGTTAAGCTCCTTTTAACTACAGGATATCAAGATAATCTTCCCGTAAGAACGCGTTTCAATATTTCTAAGCACTGAAGGTTCGTAAAATCAAATCTCTTCTGGAGCTTAGTTGCAGTGATGTTCTCAGGATGAATTCTACGGTTATCACCCACAGTTATGTTGCTTACAGTTGCTCTGCAAAGACTTGTGCTCCACCTTCTGCCTACTCATGTCATAGGTGAAGGCAACAAAGAGTTTATAGCAAGGAGCCCTCCAGAGATAAACAGAAATATTATCTTCTAGAACAGGTTAGAGAAATTTAATTACTACAACATTTTAGTGGACAGAAGCAAAAGGAGATTTACATATAAAGTGTAAGCATCTAAACTTTAGGATAGAAGATTCAGTTAAAATTAAAGCATTTATGTTATTAAAGCATTTAAATTTTAATCTGAGAACACTCAGATAATACTGAATGCTATTATCTAAAAATCCAGAGAAAAATTCATTAAGCATACCCTGTGTTCTGGATTCAACTCGTTCTTTAAAAAAACAACAAAAATCAAAACATAACAGAATGTTAATGAACTGAATGCTGACCTACAGAAGTATCAGAATTGCTGATTCAAAGCAAAATTTAAGACCCAGTTCTTTCTGAGGATTTGTTTTGTTATGACTGTCAGCAGTCCATCACGTAGGAGTGCTTTGGCTATCATGTTATCGTTATCAGGATATATAGATGTTACTTTGCTTAGTAAGAAAGACACTGTCATTGTCTGCTTAGCTCTAAAACGCAATTAAACCAAGGTAGTTACCGAAGACGTTTCTCTACAACACAGCAAAATATTTGTTTCCCTTAAACTCTTTCAGAAGCCACCAGGATGCCAGTACCAGCTGAGCTTTGAAATTTCATGATGCAAAGTTTCTATTCAAAATATTAAACGTGCTTTTTCTAAAAATAAATTGGAGGAGAAACAGCTATTACTTGCAACATGCGTTTTCGTATCCCAACAGAGATAACAAGTTTTAGACATGCTGGTCTCAGCAAACCAACTATTTAATTGCCTTTATAGAAATCCTACAATAAAAACATTTTTAAGGCAGCTGTTGGCTAAAACATCAAAGCTCAGCTTGGACTAACATTTCTTCAATTGACTGGCTCAGCTGGGACACACAAAGCATGCAGCAGATAAGGTAAACTTCACTTAATGGCAACCCTTGGTCTAATCAAGTTTATTCTGTCAAGCTAAAAAGCAATGCATAATAAGGCGTACTGTGCTCTACAATAAACTGTTCTGGTTTGGGGGGGTCCTTTCATTAAAAAGTGCAATAAAAATTAGGGATTTCATAAACTATAAAAGGAGAATAACGCAATCTTAGCTGTGCCATACAATATACTTTCTGGTATTCAGAAAAAAATCTGTATCTGGAAAGCAGGAGTGCGCCCACACAGAATTCCCGGCTGTTGTGCACATTTGAGGGCTCTTTAGTGAAGTGTCCATTTGTACAGCAGTGTACAGCACGTCTCTGGCCTCACAACACGTACATCAAGGCTCCCGAGCCTTCCGTCACTGCACCACAGTGGAAGTCTTCCACTGAGAGGAAATGGCACAAAAAATTATCTCTATATAGATCTGGTCCCCTGCTAACTATAGTTGGGAAGAAAAATCTCTTCATATGCATCCACGGATATCTGACACAATCTGCATAGTGGGAAACAGATGTGACTCTGAATATACCTGAATATTACCATAATATTCAGCAAATTTCACAGTTCTTGCGCTTCTTTGAGTAGATCCTTACACAGGGAAAAAACCCAACACCCAGCAAGGCAGCTTAACATCTACTCATTGTTTGTAAGTATAATACCTTTATTTTCAATCTATAAACTTCACGTGTGTTTTTACACTGATGATATCCCACCTGCTCTCAGTCTAATGTTACTTTTCCTTGTATACAAGGGCTGCCTAACAAGAAGGAGACAGTGGTGCCGTTAGTCTATCCAAGATGAAATGCAACAGCTTCACCTGTGAGTTGCTAGGATCCCCAGTCCCAGCTGAATTCCCACAGTCTCACTGCAGCTCGGCCCTCAAACTGCCTTTTTTTTGTCTTCAAGCTAAATTCATTTGACAGAGGGGAAAAAAAAGAACTGATTGACAGTCCTTCCTGAAGCAAACCCCTCATGGTTGTACCACGTCTTCAGAAGAGAACGAGCAGCAAGTCAAAGTCCACTGTGGTCCCTCCAACAAAGTGCTGCTCTCCCAGGACAGACAATCAAATTAAGGGAATCTTTAACACCAAATACTAACTCAGATTTGTGACACAAAAATTAAAGTATAAAATGCAGGGAGATATCCAGTAAACCAGAAGTAGCAATTTATCAAGTAAAATACCTACAGGATCTACAGGTGGCAACAGGTCTTTTTTCTCTTGTTCATCTTCCTCTTCATCTGTGCTATATTCTTCCATTGTTTCTCCACTTGCAAAATGGATAACCCTCCTTGGAATTTTCTTCTTCTTCCCTATGACACCCAACTCCACATTCTCAAACCCTCTATCTCCATTTGCAAGTTGCTATAAAGAAGAAAAAAAAAATCATTAACTCAAGTACATGCTTCTGGAACTGGAAGTGTTTCCCCTTAGAAAATTTCATGAGATATTTAAAATAGATTGATTAGCATAGATGATGGACATTTGCAAGAGCTTGGCTGTAAGTAAAAGATAAGCCTGAAACATCATTATTTGCAGATATGTAAAAATGGATCCCTTCACTAAAAATAAGAAGGTAAGCGCCTTCAGTTCAGCATGGACAGGTGGTATTAAAAGCATCTGTTCTGAAAGAGCACCGTGTTACACAGGAGTTTCTTAGCAGGACAATTTTCTTTAAGTAATTTGAGGGGCACATAACTGTTTAAATTTAAAAGTATCGTTGGTTTCAGAATGAATATCTGGTGAAATTAATCAAGTAGTTCATAGGCTGTAGCCATCTCTGCAAGCTTACACAGACATCTCCAGCACAGGAGAGAACTGAATGAAGGACAACTAAGCAGCCAGGCTCAAGCTTTAAAAAGATGCATCGAGGAATCTGCCCCTGTGGGCTGTCGTCAGCAATCCCCATCAGTACGAGGGACCATGCTAAAAGAACAACACGTAGTTTTGTTGCTAAGGTCATATAAAAGGAGCAGTACAATGTCTGGTTTTGTTCTTCAGCTGCTGAATATTACAATGCAGTCTTTGGATCACAAGCACTAAAAAAATATACTTCTAGTTCAAAGGCCAATCAATAATTCTTTAGGCTAGTAACTCCTGCTGCCAGAGAATTTCAGTGAGCTTTTGTGTTGTATCTGTCAAAACAGAGCCTTGGTAGAGCTCTTAGATACTACTGCATCAAATGCATAAAACTGTTCTGAAAACACTTCTGTCACGCCGAGGAGGACACAGAGGTTAGGACACACCAGCCACATGTTTTTAACACACCACGCAGGTTTTGAAAAATGTACGAGCTCACGTAATTTGAAACCTTGTGGTCAGGAATGAGATGTGCGTACGCGTACACAGAAATCACGTTGCATAAAACGGGCACATTCCAGTTTTTGACTTCTTGCCTGTGCAAACCCAATGGTCTCCACAGATCACAATTCAAAATTATTAATAAAAATACATATTTTATGACATAGTTATACAAAATCCCTTAATCATTGCAAGCACAGCATCACCATTCCCACCTCTTCTGCTAGAATACATAAACCAGCTTTGCAACACAAACAGGCTTGGTAAACTGGGAAAGGCAGAGAGAGGGGCAGGAGGGGGCCGTGGGGAGCAGAACAGCTTCCTTCAGTCCCGACAACAGATTCTTCTCCTGCCCACAGAGAAGAGGGAGGGAAGGTAAAGACCACGTGCTGACAGTGTCGAGAGAGAGCGCACACTCATCATCTCCCCTGGTCCTCGTACCACCGCTTCTCAAAACTGCAAGTCATTTCAGCTTCCCCTAGCATTTCTTTAGCTACCACGGCACATCTCGGGTGTTTTCCTGAATCAAGTGGCAAGCTTTCAGTGGGGTAATGCAGCTGAAACAGCATTACATTTTCACACAGAATTACATTTGCATGTAGAAAGACAAAACTGACTAGCCATGTCCCAGCAGACTCTCTCTGCTGCGTATCCACCTTGGGAACAGCGCAGGAGCAGAATAGCAAAGCTACAAAAAAAATGAATGCTGAAAACAGCAAAACAACCTAAGTGCAGGGAGCGCTCCTTGCTGCTATAAAAAGCAGGCGCCACTCACTGTGACTCAGTTCTGTATTTTTGGGGGCAAAGAGCACCAAAGAATCAGCCTTTCACGAAAATTTCATGCTCCTTTATTGGCATCGTACAATGATGCCATTTTCCACGTTTAGTCACAGTGCTGAAGAGCACCGTTTCTTGCACCACAGCATCACAAATACTACTGCGATTAGTAACAGCAAGCAACATGAGCCTCCTCTCAGAGCTCCTCTAAATGCACAGTCTCTCGTTCTGATCTTGGCTCGTTTAACTCAAACACTTCAAACATTTTAACTTTGAAAAAGATTGTAGTTAATATTTAAAGTATAAAAAGCAGGCTTTAATTCCCTGCACACCCATCCCACACTCCACTTACACTACCTACAGCAAGCAGCTCCACGTGGCTGGTGCTGGTACCAAAGCTTCAGACAAATGCAGTAGCTCAACACAGTAAGGATTCATCAAGGAGTGAGAAATCCGATTCCCTTAGTAATCTGGTTCAGAGTCCTAAATTATTAAATTAAATAATACGTATCAGCTGCTGCTTTTGTTATTACCTAGTCAAACCTGGATGCGGGTTTTAGTCATCACTGTAGCATCCGTCCTTTTCATTTTTACATTCACAACACCAATAAAAGGCAACCCTCCCAGCTGCAAGCAGAAAGTTCAGCACCTCTAAATTATCTTTCCAAAACTGTGGCAATGCAGATATACTCTAGAGTTGGCAGCTACGCTCACTTTATAGCTGAAACTTTACAGTATCTCCTCTTTGAGGCTTTACATTTTTCATCCCCCTTTACAAATTTGATCAAGAAGTTGTTACAAAGATGATTCTTCTACTCCATGGCTTTGGTCAGGCTGCCACCTCATTTTTTTCCAGAGGCTCATCCCTCTCCAACACATTATACGGGTCTTGAAAGACTCCGCATTTGTCTTAACCACATGCCACAATTATTTACTTCGGCTTCTATTCCGGCAAGTGTCAGACACGGAGAGGCCAGTCGCCCGTGCGCCTTCGCCACACTAGCTAACACTCTTCAGGTACTCGGCAAACGCTGTAAAGTGACTTCCTTTTCCTTTTAGATGCTCTCTTGGAATTTCTCTTGCCTTTATGGCACCCACACAAACCTTGCCTGTCAGGAAGCCAGCGTCTGAATCTGCGGCTGCTTGGTCGCCCTCCTTACAGCCACTCTCTTACCTCACCCGTTGGCCAGGAGCAGGGAGGGCAGGGCACGTTTTGACAGTGTTAGTACAACACCCAGCACAATGGAATTTCAGTCCACATCCAAAATGCCAAAATAAATTAACTACAATTAAGGATGAGGTGTGCCAGCACACCTGCAGGTGAGCTAGGAAAGCTCACACAACTAACACCAGGTGATGCAATAACGCCAAGTTTCATCAAGGAGAGGAAGAATAAAAGCAAAAAGCGACAGGGAGAGCAGACTGCTCACTTGGGCATCTTTCAACCTGTGGGACTCAGGTACCCTCACGCCAGCTGACGACCCAAAGCATTCCAGTCTGCGGCGTCCGCTCTCCCTCAGCAAGACGAGGAGCTCGGTCTGTACAGACCTGCTGCCCGCTAACAGCGGACAAGAAGTACTCCCACCCGTGCTGTCTCGCCTGCCTTGCTCCTCTCGCTCGCGGTACTTCTTCTGGCTAGGGGTTGTTTCTTTGGCGGGGGATGGGGTGTTTGATTTAAATTTTTCATATTGCCTGACTTCCCACCCTCGTGTCTCAGCTGTAGTAAAGCAGAAAGAGAAGCCAACAAAACGACCCCGCGACGGGACAGCTGCTCAGACCGGACGCCCCCGAACCGCGGCACTGGGAACGGCCCCGCGCAACGCCCGGCGGGCGGCCCAGCTCCCACGGACACC